CCCCTCCCCCTCCTCCTTTTTCTTCTTCTTTCTTCTTCTAGGTTTATAGTAAATTCTCGGTAAGTAAAGTTTCTGCCCTTCAGAATCTTGGGTCTTGAATGAACATCTGGATGGGATGCTTCCCTAATGGAGCTTGTGAAAGGTCTGGGCCGGTGAAGCAGCTGTTGGCAGAGCTGCTGTGATTGGATGGCTGGAGATTGGAAGCCAGAGCCATTTGTCTGTAGCAACATTTCATTTGCTGTGAATTGCTCTGAATCTTCTTTACCTTCATGGGGCCTAGGGGCCAGTGTCGGTGAGCGGAAGGTGTGGGGCTGGGAATTGTGGAAACAGAGAAAGCAGTCATGACATCACGTTGATAATTTAGGTGGCGTGTGTTACCAGAAGAGGAAGTGATAAAGGGCGATGTAACTTGGAGACACTCCCATTCAGAAACTATGTATTCCCAAAGACAGTGTGACGCAGAAGGAAGCTGTATCAATCAATGTTCAATAATACATCAGGCCTGTTTTACTTCTTAGTTTTTTCAACCCTTTAATCATCTTTCCTTTGTTCTCGTTGGATATAGAGCATGAGCCCATGGAGGGTGTAATTGCTTAAGAACCTAAAATTACTCGAATACTGATAGTGTATTGAGGCAATAACACAACTTCAGACCCATTCAGTTATGAATCCATAGCAGATATTACTGGTAGTTAAAAGAATAAGATAGAATGATGACTAGAGAAAGTGTTTACAGAATGCCTTTCTGCTTACCAAAAATTAATAATGGGGTTATTTTTTATAATCTATTTTCCTGACTCTTCAGAAAAGCATATTCCTATCCTGAGGACATGATGAAGTGAATATGTAAGTCTTTACCTTGAGATTTTTTTTCATCAGTCCAGCCTTCTGTTAGTTCCTAGGAGAAGGCAAAGGACAGTCTCTAGAATGTGGGTATAAGTGCTTAATGATGGTCCATTTTGGAATATTTTGGGAATTAGATGCTCTTCAAGTGATTTCAGAGGAGGGCCAAATTCTTTCAGTCTCTCTAATCTGCTGTTCTCAGCTCCGGCTTCAACTTATTCTGGTCCCCTCATGGTTGTTAGATGGCTGCCAGGAACCAGAGTCGCCATTTGCTTCCATGTTTGCATTCAGCTGGAGGAAAACACAAACCCAAGACCCCAAACCTTTCCTTCTGACAGAAGGACATGGATTTTTCTCTCATTTTTTAGTTAAATTGTTTTTTACTTATGATAAAACTCACTGCTTTTGCCATTATTAAGACATATTGGCTACAAGTTAAAGAAGCTGAATTTATTAAGGCAAAATGTTATCAGTTTTATGATAGATTGGTAGATTGTATCAGAAAGGCAACATCGGTATTTCCAATGCTACAGGCTTTTCCATAATCTCGCCACTACTGCCCCCTCTCCCCCGCTGCCATCAAGAGATGGAGTCTATTTCTGCCCCCTGCCCCCGGAACTGAGTACTATTTTGCAATTGCTTTGAGTAATGGAATGTATCTTGACTTTCGTGCCTGGTTCTTTCTCTTGGGACATAGACTTTGGGAACCCTGAGATGACACGTCAGGAGTTTGACTCCCTTGAAACATCCCTGCTGGCCAGAGCCTGTGGAGGAACCTCATAGGATGTCTGAGGAGCTGCAGCTATTCCTGCCCTCAGCTACTGGAGTTTTCCAGGCCCAGGTGCCAGACATTTAAGTGATTGAGTCATCAAGTGATTCCAGCTTCCAGCCTTTGAGCCTCAGCGGCTGATTCTGAGTGGAACAGAGCTGACCTGTCCTCAGGGAGCCCAGACTCAACTGCAAATCTCTTGAGTGAAAATATCGTGTCTTCAGAGAGTCAAACCTCACTTCTCAGGGGCACAGCTCTCAGATATAGGGGGACAGTATCAGTCACTGAAGAAGGGCTGAACTAAGAGAAACAAAACAAGCCAAATAAATTTATATACATATAAACACTGAATTTAAACACTGCTTTTTTTATAGCAGTTTTCTGTAATGCCTGAGTCTTATCAATAAGAAATGGGTTGTCACTGGTTAACCTTAGTTAGCACCAAGTATGATGTGACATCTATTGCAACCCTCATTCTTATAAACCTGTCTGACATTTTATTGTCTAACTCACGATTAACAATGAGGATTGACGTATTAATTGTGGCATTAAAATTGAATCAGTATTAAAAATCTGATTTAATATTATTCATAGTGATATAGTTTAAGTGTTCCTTATTTAGGCCCTGACGATCAAAGCTCTCAAGTGAAAAAAACAATGGGTCCTTTTTCATACATAATGTTTGGATTTCACATCCTATTAAATATATTGGGTGTATATATGGTCCACCGTAAGGATTGAGAGGAAAAAGAAATTTTCTATTTCCTTTTTTTCCCCTCTTTTCCTGTGAAAAACACCATTCCAATCTCAGTAGAAAATCCAAGATCTGGAGGCTCTTGTAGACCCAAGAGGCAGCCACTTAGGGGGACAGGGTCACACTTGGTCACTTTGGTACAATGAAAGCAAAACCAATGCTTCTGGCCACTTTTGGCTTTTGTCCCAGGCACACATGTTATAAATAATAAATCACCCATTGATCAACCTTTATTGGCAAGGAGATGGGCTGGCTTTAGGCCACTTCACAGTTCGGATAAAATTTCATCTATCTATCTATCTATCTATCATCTATCTGTCTCATATATCATCATCATCTATATCTATTTATCTATCTACCTGTCATCTATCTACCATCTACCTATCATCTATCTACCATCACCATCTGTCATTTCTCTCTCCCTACTTCTTACTTCCGTGTGTGTATGTGTGCGCGTGTATGAAAAGGATAAAAGAATCAACTTAGTAACTATGAACACTTTTAATTGACTTTCTCCTAGCTCTAACTCTGATTCCAGAGGTTTCTGGCTGAATTCATTTATGTCAGCCTGGTGCCATGTGCTCTTAAAAAATCACAGGCAGCAGAGACCTCCTTGGTCTTCAAGGGTTGCAAATGTTGGGCTTGCACAGACTCAAAGTCACAGAGGAAATATAAAGCTCCTGCTAGGACAAGGACTTTTTGACATGCATTAACTTCCCCCTGCACAACTCAAGCCAGGGAATGAGTCCTACTGCTTACTTTTGGAAAAGTTAAACCAGCTATTTGGTTATGGACAAATCATGTCTGTACCATATCTCTGCCTTGATGAACTTTACTATTTCATTCTATGACGGTAATGAAGTGGAAACACTGTCCTCAAAGCTACTTATTTATATCTCTCTTAGGGGCTGGAGCATTCCTGGGAGGGGACCCAGAAAAGTGTATTCCTACAGTAAACAAGGCAAGAAGGACCAACTTGTAAGTAACTGTAGGACAATTCATATGAAAATGTCTGTCTACCATGCTGCTCTAGAAATGAGCCTCTCATTTGCACAAATATGCATGAACAAGAAGTCGTTTGGTTGTTGCTAAACTTGGAGAAAGAACCATGAATTTTAGACTTTGAGCTGAATTAAACTATGTAGAGCGAAGGGGAGAAAGTTTTAAAGGAAGATGGCAGCCAATTTCTTTTGTTATTTAATGTTTTATTTTTTCAAGAACAGTTAACATTTACTAGGCACCTATTGGCCTCAGTCACTTGCATCTAAAGAGCAAAGCTAATTTACCCACAGCCCCTGTTCTTTTGAGTGGTTAGCCTTACTTCCTAGCTCTGTTAACAACTATTCTACCATTGGCTTCAATTTTAATAATCTAATCCATAATTGTCTACTGCTCCCTGCCACGTGAACAAAAGAGTTTGGGGGGAATCAGGCGAGCAGTTTACATTTTCTGTGGCTATTTCAAGTAATTGGCTCCAAAGTGAAATTATTGAGTTGGCCATGGTTTATCATGTTCTGAGGGCATGAAACATGGAAGGAAATGGGCCCGTAGAAAGGGTTGGTATCCAAGAATGTGTGAATGTGTGAGAATCCTATAACTTTACCTCCACTGGCCTAATATCCTGAGTCACTAGATGGTCAGAAGTATAGATAGAGTACAAAAGGAACAGCTGATGTACATTCATACTAGAAACCAAAAACAAGATGAACAGCAAATGAAATAGCTTCTATCCAAATAAAATCTCACATAGGTCATTTTTATACATACGTGGACACACACCCACACACGCACAGACACACGAGAAGAATGTGTGTTTTGTAAGATAGGTCCTTGGAAAGACATTCTTAGCAAATATGGATGACAGATCAATTGTAATTTATTTTCTTTTAACACTGTATCATCATAAAGAAAACTGGTATAAATGAAAAAATCTATTTCAAATATCTACATCTAAAATTTTAGGCAGTGAAAAAGCACTTTGTTGACAAGGAGTGTGGAATGATGGATGTTAATTGTCAGAAACTGCTGAATGCCTTGCTTAGTTGCCACAAACAAATTCACATATCTGAACGAACAATACTGCTAAATATTCCTTTTTTCCCAATTTTTTTTCTGTTAAAACATACTGCGAGAAAGAAAAGAAAAACTGGAAATCCATACATCTTTCAAAAGTTTGAAATTGAAGCAATATTTAGAACCATAGATGAGGAAACGCTGCAGCATTGGTGTAATATACACAATGCGCTTTTCTTCTTTAATCTGTAATGTACATCAAATACTTTACAACAATGCATTAACAAAGGGCAAGAAACATCTTGCTGTACAGAGGAACCCGAGTGCAACTTGAAGCCTAGAATCACAACGGATGAAGAGTAAACAAAGCGTGAGAAGCCGTCCCTCTGAAGTGTGTGAACCACGTGCCTCTGTGCTTACAACCGTCACCCTGACCGCCTTCTGTGCTGCCTTCAGCCACATTCAGTGGAAAGCACTTTTTGGACTCTCCAGCCCGCGCTAGAAAGGTGTTGTGCAAGGTCAGATTGAGGATCACTTTCTATTGACTTTCAAGTTAACGTTCGATTCATTTAGCTTTCTGAAATAGCACTTAATGTTTCCTTACTGGTTATGCCAGCCTTCCTATGGAACAGGCTTTAACAAACTAAATTTGCAGGGGAAAAGAAAAATAGCAATGTCTGTGGTCTTGCATGCACATGCACTGTTCCCGGTGCTGCCTGCCTCACACCCAGGAGTCGGGGGACGCGGGGTAGTGGCTCGTTTCATAGTTCAGTTCACTGTAGGGACGGGCAGCGGAGTAGAAGTCGACGTAGTTGCCCGTGGACTTGAGTCCCAGGTGCATGTACTCGCTAGCCGGAGGGCGGTGGTGGACCTGGTCCTCGAAGAAGGACTCGTCGTAGTTTCTCGTGGAATTCGGAAACGGCTGGTAGGTCTCGTAGTCTTTTCTGCTGGGCTCCTGTGGGACTGGCTGTGCTGAAACCTGCCCAGAAAAGAAGATCCACCTGGGTTAGCGCGTTTGCCCTTGACCCGTCCTCCCCTGCCGCCGATGCGCTCAACCCTCTCTCAAAGTCAAGGCTCCGAACATCCTCCATGCGGTTACCAGTATCGAGCTTCTCCTGATTGACTTTCCTTTTTCAAGTTGGTTCCTAAGTCCATGCGCTATCATTCTAGGTAATCTTTTTTTTTTTTTGAATTATTATTATGGTAAAGTATACATAACATAAAATGGACCATTTTAATGGTTTTGTGTATAATTCAGTGGCATTAAGTACATTTGTCGCCTGGGCCACCGTCACCACTATCCATTTTCATAACTTTTTCATCATCGCAAACAGAAACTCTGTATCCATTAAGCTTAAGTCCCCATCCCACCCTCTTTTTGCAGCTTGTTGCAACCGCTGTTCTATTTTCCATCTCTATGAATTTCACTAGTCTAGGTACCTCATAGAAGTGGAATAATAGAGTATTTGTCCTTTTGGGTCTGCTTTCTTTCACTTAACACAATGTCCTCAAGGTTTATCCATGTTGTAGCATGTGACAGAATTTCCTTCCTTTTTATGGCTAAATAATATTCCATTGTATGGAGAGACCACATTTGTTTATCCATTTATCCACTGATGGACACTTGTATTATTTCCACCCTTTGACTATTGTGAATAACGCTGCTGTGAACATGGGTGTACCAGATTCTGTTTGAGTCCCTGCTTTCAAGTTTTGGGGGGTATGTACCAAGAAGTGGAATTGTTGGATCTGATGGTAATTCTATGTTTAACTTTTTGAGAAATTGCCAAAACTGCCATGAGAGGTGAACCATTTTACTAATTAACCTTTTTCAAACTAAAGAGGTATACACTAGACACTACAGAACACAAGTAATTTACATTCATCTTTCCTGCATTTTTTCCATCACGCCTGGGTGCTGTAATCCCAGACAAAGAGAAAGTGAAGATGTACAAGGTCTAATGGTCACTTGGGCATCCTCCTGCCAGGTCGGAGGGCTGTGATCAATACCTCTCTGGAGGATGGAGGCTTCCTGGTAATAGGGCCATTCCATTACACCTGCCTAAGTGACCAGGTACCACAGCCTCAGAAGGATACAGAGAAGCATGTGAGAAGAAGAGGGAATCCACTTCAAATACTCTATGCTCTGGAGAACCAAAACATTTCCTAACTTGGTTCAATTAAGAATTGATGGGACTCGAGAATAATGTGGGATTATGAAGACTTTGGTTAGGGGAGAGGGGTCTTCAGACTTGTCCAATGTCCCCCAGCCCACCTCAGTGTTCCACGTTTCCATTCCTGTCCTCTGCAGGTTACTGCCTGATGTAGGGGGCCTTTAGGGGCTAAAGGGACCACAAGATTCTTCAGGATATGTGAAGTCTAGTTAGTTAGTTAGTTCCCTCTGCTTGGCTTTAAGGACAGTAAAACAGACAGTGTTCATAGGCTGATAATTAGCATTTATATGTTGGGGGTCTAGCTATCCCCTTCCCACTGCCTCTGCGGTCCCTTCCTAAGCATCACGCTCCCAAAGTGAGGATACCCACAAGGCATGGAGGAAGGACCATCCCCACAGCCACTGCATAATGGCATCCACAAAGCAATGATTGTGCAGGAGGTCTGGGGGGAACGATGGAACACTCCTAAAAAAGCACAGTTTGATCACCTGCCAGTGGACTCGGTAATTCCCTACTAATGTAACTAAGGTTCAGCATGGAAACATCTTCTAGAAATTGGTCTTAGTTAGCAGATAATGATTTGTAATTAGCACGTTGTGTGTGAATGAATGCTTCTAATGGCCTGCCCGTAATTCTTCTCTCAAGTAAGCGAAACTCCCTCTTTTATATGTAATTGATTTACACTAGTAATCGACCTGCTCTTCAAAGAAGCGGTGAACTTCATCATAGCTGCCATCCAGGAGGCCTCACACTTCCAGATAGTGGTGGCTGAATGAATGAGGTTTCTGTCTGCCTGTGAAAGTCCTCAGAACGTAAATGTGTGTTAGCCTAAGAGCCTGGTCATGAGGGGGACATTCGGAACTTCAACATCTGCAATTAAACATTGCTGAGACCACGTGTACCTGATCACTGGGATAGGCTAAGGTGCCCTGTGCTGGTCTTTGAAGAGCTGAGCGCTACGTGGAACTTCTCCGCTGCATCTCAGTGCTGCTACCCAAGTGTGGAGCATACAAAGAATTAGAGTTGGGAGGTATGGAAAAATTACACAGGGAGGGAACTAGAATTTACTGGCTCTATTTCAGTGGGCACTATATTCAACATTTAACAAATTCTTCTTTGTTTACTCTTGTATATGTATGTATGCATACATATATGGATGCATGTTTATGTCTGTATATCTATCCATCCATCCATTTATCCATCTATCATCTACCTATTTATCTATCTAATCCATCTCCTTCTCTCCCTCCACCCTTCCTCTCTCTCAATTTCTCCCTCCCTCCCTCCTTCCTTCCTTCCTTCCTTCCTTCCTTCCCATCCATCCATTTATCCATCCAATTCCCAATTTATAATGAAGAAACTGAAGGTCAGAGAAGATAAGAAACTTGTGCAGGATGCCATGGCTCGTGGTGGGGTGAGGCTGGGATGTGAATGCACACCTAGCTGACTCCAAAGTCCATGTTCTCTCTGAGACAGGAGCACAGTCTCTGTTGAGCCAAGGTGGCTCCACCTCGGGGGGCAGGCAGCCTCACTGAGTTGACTCCAGACCCTGTGATGAGAAGGGAGGCCATGGACAAAGGAAACCAAGATGAGGCCTGACTTCTCTGTGGTGGTCTCAGTAACCAGGGGAGGGGCAGTGCTAGAGCTTGGGAGGTCTTCAGGCGAAGCCTACTTACGAGGCTCGTGGCCCTCCTCCACGGTGGCTGCTTCTTTCTTCTTTTTCTTTTCTGGCACAGCCTGTTTCAAATTTCTTACTGCTGCTATGTTCTCTCTGGCTGGTGGACATTTTTGGGTTGAGCACAAGCTTATTTTAGTCTCATATCAGGAGTTACCTTCTTCAGTTCATTCGTATTGTTCATAAGGTCCCATATCACCCCCTTCTCAGGTTGAGTTCTGCAGTTCAGAGAATTTGTGTGAATGAACCACCCAGAACAGCTGATGGTGGCAGAGCTGTGTTTGAAGGCATTAAATTTGCTCCCTGGCCCCAGTGGTATGGATGTTGGCTGATAAGATGCATTCACTGCAGAGGTATGTTGGCTGTATTTTGTCATTTACTTTAAGAGACTATCTGACAGTGTTCAAGATTAGGCAGGTGAAATGCTCCCCAATACCAGCCTTCCCCGTAGAGGAGCTAAAATAAATGCACTTTTTTTTTTTTTTTAACATCATACAGTGTGGACAAGCCAGATTTCTGTAAAGGAGGTGGAATGATGCTCATATCCCACAGTGGTGTATTCTGAATCTGAGTCTCTTGTGGTCCAGAGGAGCCCTGGCACATCCAAGGAGCCTGAGGCTGTTGTCTGCTCTGCTTAAGGCAGCGTCCTCTCTGGGAAGGGCAGGTGCCACCAGCTGGCTCACGTGGCCATCACTGGGGTCCACACTCTCGGCGCTCCGCCCTGTGGCTTCTGCTCCCACAGAGTCATCCTTGCTGAAAGCTGAAAGCTTTCCTCAGCAGCAGAATGTTTAGTGTAAGTTACGAAGGACACTGCTCCTTCTTACCTCCCACCCCTGTAGCACGCTGATGGAAGACTTCTTTGTATTCCTCACTGAGTTCGCCCACAAATTGAACGTATTCCTAACACAAGGGAAAAAGCCGCCCACTACAGACCTTCAAAGTCTACTGCACAGTGAAAGCTGAAGACTCAGGGTGTTGTCATTATACGATGAATGAGGCCGTGGTGAAGATCAGTGCTTCTCAAAGTGTGGTCCCAAGACCAGGAGCATCAGTACCGCCTGGGAACTCGTTAGGGGTACAAATTATTGGGCTCCATCCCAGACCTACTGAATCAGAACATCTGGGGTTGGGGCCCAGTAATCTGTGTTTAACAGTCTTCCAGGGGATCCTGACTCACCCTCAAATTTGAGAACCAGTGGTATACAGGAGGGCACATGGGACAAGAGGACAGAAGAACCAGGCTGGAGTCTTTGCCTCTTCCGAGCTTCTTTGGGTGACTGGGGGCGAACCCTTACCTTCCTTGAATCCCAATTTCCTCAGCTCTGGGGATAATTTTATTTGCCTGCCCACCTGGCAGCCAGACTGAGGAACTCAAGATGCCATTTTTATTGTTGTCAGTAATAATTTGAAAACCAGCCAGCAAAACACCAAAACCCTTTGTTTCTAGTTTATGAACAAAAATCCTATTGCCAGCGGGATACGGTTAAATATGCTGTTTTTCTTTATAAGTATGGGATAGACTGGTAGAAGCTCAGCAGGGTTTTTGAAGGGTTTGAGTACTTAACTCTTAAAATAATATCTGTGACCCCAAACATAAAACCGAGGATCACAAATCTTATTTCACACTAATGGTTGTTTCTTCTAGGAGTCCTTATGCTCGGAATTCACTGATTCGAAACTGGAGTGGCAGTTAGTCACGTGGGGTGTGCCACAGCTGCGAAGCTGCCTGGCTGCTTCTCTGCTGAGTCAGGGGAAGCCCGCCTCCCAGCTCCTGCCCCGGCCCCTCCCTTGCTTGGCCACGCATCCAGGGCTGTTGCCTTATTTTCAGATCTCACTGTCTTTTGCCTCATCCCAGAGATCCCCCTGAAACTAGTTTCCCTCGGTGAATCACTTCTTCTCTAAGATGAATCTCTGTCCAGGCTCCTCTGCAAAGCTCACGAGGCCCAGCTTTGACACCCAAACTGAATGGACCCCAGCACATCCCTCCCGGTTAAATTTTTCAAGCTGGCCATTTACTAGCTATGAGGTTGTGAAGTGGCTTTTAGCCCAGAAAAGTTCCAAAAACAAAAGCCATCTGTGATAACCAACCATGCTCACATGGGCAGAAAATCCACATCATGGATGCTGTTTACAAGGTCATCTCCAGAAGCACCCATCTGGAAGAGGAGCAAATGGCCAACTTTTTTGAATGGTCAGGATGGTCTTCCTTTACCGAATTCCCAAGAGGGAAGGCTGTAAGTAAAGTCAAAGTGTATCCTGATAACAGAGTCCAAAACAAGTAAAAGCTTTATTATTTTCTCAAGTCACTGGAGTGTCATAATGATTTTCTTGGAAATTTTTTTTGAGGTAAAAAACAACTCTCTTTGGTGGACAATTCAAAAATGTTGTTTGATATTAGAATGGAGTTAACAGTCCAGTTGCCCCCTTCCCTCGGCTGGACCAGCTGAGGGAATAATGATGGCACTTAGCTATGGCAACAGGACTCAGTTCTGCTGGGGGCCGGCCTGCAACGTCTCCCCTGTGCTGACAAGTGGCTCAGAGCTTGCTCTCCATCCAGACTGAGTTTCAGTACATCCACCTGAGACACCGTGGCCTTGATGTTTCACACCAAGGTTGAGTCGAGTTCATTCTAGGGCCTCCTGGGCCCTAGAATGAAAAGGCTGCATACAATAGGCGGGAAAGAGCCGCCCACTACAGACCTTCAAAGTCTACTGCACAGTGAAAGCTGAAGACTCAGGGTGTTGTCATTATACGATGAATGAGGCCGTGGTGAAGATCAGTGCTTCTCAAAGTGTGGTCCCAAGACCAGGAGCATCAGTACCGCCTGGGAACTCGTTAGGGGTACAAATTATTGGGCTCCATCCCAGACCTACTGAATCAGAACATCTGGGGTTGGGGCCCAGTAATCTGTGTTTAACAGTCTTCCAGGGGATCCTGACTCACCCTCAAATTTGAGAACCAGTGGTATACAGGAGGGCACATGGGACAAGAGGACAGAAGAACCAGGCTGGAGTCTTTGCCTCTTCCGAGCTTCTTTGGGTGACTGGGGGCGAACCCTTACCTTCCTTGAATCCCAATTTCCTCAGCTCTGGGGATAATTTTATTTGCCTGCCCACCTGGCAGCCAGACTGAGGAACTCAAGATGCCATTTTTATTGTTGTCAGTAATAATTTGAAAACCAGCCAGCAAAACACCAAAACCCTTTGTTTCTAGTTTATGAACAAAAATCCTATTGCCAGCGGGATACGGTTAAATATGCTGTTTTTCTTTATAAGTATGGGATAGACTGGTAGAAGCTCAGCAGGGTTTTTGAAGGGTTTGAGTACTTAACTCTTAAAATAATATCTGTGACCCCAAACATAAAACCGAGGATCACAAATCTTATTTCACACTAATGGTTGTTTCTTCTAGGAGTCCTTATGCTCGGAATTCACTGATTCGAAACTGGAGTGGCAGTTAGTCACGTGGGGTGTGCCACAGCTGCGAAGCTGCCTGGCTGCTTCTCTGCTGAGTCAGGGGAAGCCCGCCTCCCAGCTCCTGCCCCGGCCCCTCCCTTGCTTGGCCACGCATCCAGGGCTGTTGCCTTATTTTCAGATCTCACTGTCTTTTGCCTCATCCCAGAGATCCCCCTGAAACTAGTTTCCCTCGGTGAATCACTTCTTCTCTAAGATGAATCTCTGTCCAGGCTCCTCTGCAAAGCTCACGAGGCCCAGCTTTGACACCCAAACTGAATGGACCCCAGCACATCCCTCCCGGTTAAATTTTTCAAGCTGGCCATTTACTAGCTATGAGGTTGTGAAGTGGCTTTTAGCCCAGAAAAGTTCCAAAAACAAAAGCCATCTGTGATAACCAACCATGCTCACATGGGCAGAAAATCCACATCATGGATGCTGTTTACAAGGTCATCTCCAGAAGCACCCATCTGGAAGAGGAGCAAATGGCCAACTTTTTTGAATGGTCAGGATGGTCTTCCTTTACCGAATTCCCAAGAGGGAAGGCTGTAAGTAAAGTCAAAGTGTATCCTGATAACAGAGTCCAAAACAAGTAAAAGCTTTATTATTTTCTCAAGTCACTGGAGTGTCATAATGATTTTCTTGGAAATTTTTTTTGAGGTAAAAAACAACTCTCTTTGGTGGACAATTCAAAAATGTTGTTTGATATTAGAATGGAGTTAACAGTCCAGTTGCCCCCTTCCCTCGGCTGGACCAGCTGAGGGAATAATGATGGCACTTAGCTATGGCAACAGGACTCAGTTCTGCTGGGGGCCGGCCTGCAACGTCTCCCCTGTGCTGACAAGTGGCTCAGAGCTTGCTCTCCATCCAGACTGAGTTTCAGTACATCCACCTGAGACACCGTGGCCTTGATGTTTCACACCAAGGTTGAGTCGAGTTCATTCTAGGGCCTCCTGGGCCCTAGAATGAAAAGGCTGCATACAATAGGCTGTGCTCACTCTCTCGGGGCAGGGATGCCATCTTGGTGTGTTAATTCCAATTTTCTTAAATGCTCAGAATACGCTTGGGTGAAAAGAACGTGCTTCTTAGAACCATTGTGGACTGTCCTCTAAATCTAGCAGTCTGTTGGAATGTACTTCAGCCACATTGTGCGATGCCAAGGACCCCTGGGCCACACCAGGGTGTTTCTTCATTGCCAACAATAGTGGGATTCCCTGGAGATAAAGGCTGACGTAGAACAGGCTGATTCTGGTGATGAGCTTCTCTTGACCTATAGAAGCTGAAGACTGATCTTATGCTCTTGGATGCAAAACCAGGGTCCTATCACATCCTGACAAATATCTTTAAGAGCTGGAGACACTGGCTCACTGTACCTGATATTTGCTGGAAGAAAAAGCATTGATTTCCATAAATAAAGTTGGCATTTCCATTTTCCTTTATGTTTGGGTAGGCATGCTGATCTGCAAATAGTTGGGGGCCACCCCTGGTGACCTCTTGTCTAGAGCTCAGGCCCCTGTTTGTTTATTCACTGACTTCTTTGCTTTTAGCAAAGACCAGAACTGTGTCCTCCTCCCTCTTCCCTTAGAAACCGTCTTGCACCAGACATTCTACCTGCTGGAAGGGAGTTCCTCTCCTCTTCAAAGATGCTGCCCTGCTGGGTGGTGAGAACTGATCAAAAACACACATTTCCCTTTCATGTTGACTTTCATCTGGTTACTGTGATCAAGTAAACAGCTTTCAGGTTTATCTTTTCAGTACTATTTTCATGACACATGGCAGGAATCTAGAGCGTCAGCAGAAGCCAGTTCTGGAAACGATTACCAGTAGCCAAGAGTTATAAAGAATGTCAGTCTTTCTGTGATGACCACCACGGGGAAGGAAAAGTATGAGGTTATTCATCAGTAAAGGAGCAGAGGTGGTGCCTTCTTGCTTTTATAGTTCCCCTTAGAACCAGAGAGAAAACGAGCCTTCAACGAATATTTGCTAAATAAAACACACGCAAAAACACAGATGGATTCTTTAAGTATCTACAAGCCAGGGTTCCTCAAATTTCAACATCCACACGGATCAGCTAGACACCTTGATAAAATGCAACTCGGATGCAGAAGACCCTGAACGGGTTAGGGTTAGGGTTAGGGGCCAGAGAAGCATCTCTTCTGTGTTTCTAACAAGCTCCCAGGTGATGCTGTTGTTGCTTGTTTCCCCACTAGCCTGAGCGGCGAGGCATAACACCATGCCGTATATTCAGTGGTTTACACTGAACTTGATGTGTCTATGTTATTAGTAACTGTCATGTATAATGAATGCTTTCTTCCGAATAAGAATTGGCTGGGTTACAGGAGCTACTTAATCCATGTCTAGTAATTAGACAATTTTTCTAGTAACCAGCATCTTACACTTGCCGTAACTAATACCTGATGCAGCCAAAAAACAAAAGATTGCTTTCAAATCTGAGGCTGTTCTGATGACTGCCACCACCCACATGTACGCCGTGTCCCACGTAAGCGGAGAGCAGCAGGGACCATTATTTTCTTTTTCCATTTTTTATGCATGTTAAATAGAAGCTAACTTATTTTTTACACTTCCAAGATATTTCACAGAACTCGAAGGAAGAAACGAACACCAACGTGCTAGCTCTCTTTTACCTGGTTATGTTTGATGTCTTCAGCGGGCGCACCATATGAATTCCTATACAAAGTTGAAATTCCAGTACTTTGAGCTGAAAGCAAAAGAGAAACAAAAGTATTAGCACCGAACGCCAGACTTCAAATGAGGAATGATGGTTATCGAGGCCAGTTTTGCCCTGACAAAGCTTGGTGTCTCATGGATCATTCCAGATGGAAGAAATTCGTTAGCCCTGAACACTTCATTTTACATACAGACATTAAGAAAGAAGAACAGTTATTCTATAAAATCCCCGTTGCACGTCAGCCTCTTGCAATAACATTCAGCTTGCAGATGGGGTCAAGGCAGGTGCATCAAACAGATGGTCATCTTGCCAGTTCTATGGCCTTGTTTTCTGGTGAAAACTGGCAGATAATAAAAGCATGTCACCTGCACTGAAGCATGCAGGAATCTGGATCGGCCGCTTAGTGTTTATCTGGGGAATGACAAGAATGAAATTTCTAATTTGAGCTCACAGAAGTGCTTGATCATCTTTGAGACAGTTCACTTCTCAACGGCCTGAAGGATGGGCAGGAAGCACCACCCGCCTTTGCCCTGCGCATCTGGGCGGCTGCGGCTTCGGAGTCCTGTTCAACACAGAGACGGGAGACTCCCACCCTGTCTTGTGACCAGCCTGTGTTCTAGACAAAAGGAAGGAAGGTCTCCTCCGGTTGCCAGCAGCTTCCAAAGTCCTGGGCAAGATGCCCACTTGCCTGCCTCCTCACCTGGGGCCCTTTAGGCTGCTGTCACAGGCCTAGAGGAAGGGCCCAGGGCAAGACTCCCCTCATAGCTGCTAAAAGGTCTTGGTTTAAGAAAGCTCTGGAAAAAAACATTGTCTGTAGAGTGTCAGCGGGTATCTAAAACACTCTAGATATCAAGAAAAATTTATCTTTTGCTTCCAGTATCTATGGGATCATAAAATAGGATGACACACCATCTATTCTCTCAGAGATACAGGCCACCAAGTCAGTATAATCTATCATTCCACCCATGTTTATTACTAAAAGCACATAATAGCTGTGCAATAAAACTCCTCTTGGGAAATTCTGCTTAGAATGTGAGAGCTGAGAGCCCACTTCCCATTTTAAAGACCACTCTGACAGACTCTCTGGCTGAACGCCCATCACTGCTGTCTCTGCATCACCATGGAAACTGCCATCCCTCGCCTGGACCACTGCTACAGCATCCTCTTCTCAATGGCCCGGCTTCCACTCTGCCTAGCCTGCTCCTTCATCCCCCCGTTCCCATCACCTGAGCGATCATCATGTTAGACAGACCGGATTATGTCACTCAGTTCCCTGCCCTTATGGTCTTCGAGGCTCCGTGTGATCTGGTCCCGTCCTGACTTCCTGCAGAATTTCCTGCTCTTCTTCCCACAGTTCAGGGGGCTGTGCTGGCCCTCCTTCCTGGCTTGAGCATCCAAATTTATTTTGCATCAGGGATGTTGGACTTCCTGATGCTTCTCCCTGGAACTTGCTTGCCCCAGCCTCTGGACTATCTCTCCTTGTTGATATTCGGGTTTCAGCTCAAACGTCTCCTCCTTGACCGTGTTAGTTAAAGTTACCCTGCCCACCTGGGGCCCTCTATCTCATTACCCCATTTATTTCCACCATCACACTCAACGCCAAGTGCTACTACCTTGTTAGTGAGTTTGTTTCGTGTTTACCTTGTGTATTACCTCCCTTCACCTAGGAGATAAGAAGCTCCATGAGGACTGTCCCGCCACCTTTGTAGGCTGCCCCAGCAGCTGGGACAGTGCCTGGCCTTGAGGGATGCTCACACAGTGAGTGTGTTCTTTGCTGAGTGAATGAATGAATGACTAAACCTTAGAAAAATCGGCCTTCAGAGCTATAACCTGCTGATGGAAAATGTTACTCCAAGGATAAGGTGAAATTTTTTTTCTATTACTCAGAATAAAATACATTTTTTTTTTTTTTTGGTAGAATGTGCATTTTTATAGCCTTGGCCTCCCTCCCTGTTGTGCTTGTGGCTTCCGAGCTGAAGATGTTTCTACTGGAAGTTCTTTCCTCCTGCTCTTTGGCGCACTTCACCTGTTTAAAGGAGACTGTGTAGCTGAGATTGAACTCGTGGCCTTTCTGGATACATGAAGCACGTGTCTTCATAGGTGCTCTGCCATGTATGTGTCCGAGCAAAGTGTCAACTTGTAGGG